TCTCACGGTGTGTTAGTTTCTTCATTTGGCGTTACAAGTTCACGTCTCTCTTTTTGTTTTGTAATAGCTTGTATTGGAGTTTTGTTCAAATATCAGGCAAGCCCACCCCCAAACCTTAAAAGCAGGTCGTTTTTGGCCCCATAAATTATTTTATCATTACTTTCCCCCATCGCAGTATGTTTGTGTCTTTATAATGAGGTAAAACTGCTGTACTTTCGGTTTAAAGCTTTGTGGTTAAGAAGCGTTAACTGTAGTCATTCCGCGTAAAAGGGGCCGACCGATATATTTTGAAATGAATGTAACAAATACTCGACTGATTTGTACTTCCTTACACTATATTTAGGAAATATTTTCGGTATGTTAACCTAAAGTGTGAAAACAGTGACGCTGGCACAACTGTATTGAACCGAATGTTTTGAAGGCGCAGTGGCACTGCATTTATTTTCTTCTCACTGGTAACATGAATTAACGATATCTGTTGACGTCGGTTCAGATAATAACTTGAGTTTTTGTTTAATGAAACGCCGTCTCCTGAACGAACACCCAGAGCCAGCTCGGTTTCGACGCCGTGGTCGGCAGGCAGCTCCGCTCCCTGCGCCTCCAGGAGAGAGAGGCCTCGGGTTTGCCCAGACACTGCGAGCCGCCTTCTGTCGCGTTATCTCTCGGAGCGGCGACTTCACGTTTTGTGCCGGGAATCAAGTCTGGGCCCGTGGGGTGTCCAGACACTGCTGTGGGTCAGCACGGCCGGGGGAGGGAGGCTAGGCTTTGAGGCGCAGGAGATCTGCGACAGTCTGCTGGTGAAGAGCGCCTGGTCGCATATCAGGAAGACGATTTTGTTGTTGTTGTTATTGTTACTGTGGTCGTTCTTGCTGGCTCCAGTAAGAAATCAACAACACAAAGGTTTCGAGGTGCTCGTTCTATTTTTATGTTGTCTGGATCTGATCAGGGAGGGATACATTCAAAACAAACATCGGCTCCGAAATGCATTTTGCGTGTATTGACTGGTTTGCCAGAATCGAGCCGCATTCGACGAGCCTATACGTAATCAAAGGCTAAACGGTGAGGTGCCTTGGTCATTTAAGCGCACACTACTGTTGTAAGAATTGGGACGAAGAATCTTGAATGTACTGCAGCAACCTTTATTTTTATTTTATCCAACACAAAATTCGTTTTTTTTTTGTATTTTGTATTAAGAGAAAAACAAGCAATTTTTCTTCCTATTCTTCCGAAATAATTTTGCTTAACAATAAATAATGATCTGCACAACAACCCTTTGTGTCCTATATAAACACCAACACCTCTTTGTCATTGTTTATATAAAATATATTGGGGCAAAATGGAAACCTCTATAGTCTCTTCTTTCTATGGTCTGTGTTTGGTAAGGAAAATAACTAAGGACAGGGTAGTTAGGGTTATCCAAATGAATTTCCTGGAGTCTGACTGTCAGGCAGGCCTCCCCCACCCCAGGAGATCTCTGGGCAAGCCCAGGCAGGTACCATCGTTAATGGTCTCTCCACTGCGGAGAGAGTTTGTTCTCCAACAGGAGAGGCGGAACCAGGAGTCCTTGTCTGTTGCTGGACAAGTGAGAAACAGACACAGGCCGCTTCAATCAAAACTGCCCCCCTTCCCCCATCCCTCCTCCTCCCCAATTAATGATAAACTTTATTTTATATGGCGCCTTTAAATGTGGCTTCGCGAAGCGCTTTACAGTAAGAAAAAAAGCATACAATGAGGGGAGAGCACAGAATTACACAATTACAATAAGGGTTTGGAATACAGTAGGAAAGCAAAGGGGCAGACACAGATCCAGTTAAATAAAAGCCCTTCTAAAGAAGGTGGTGTTGAATCTTGATTTGACAGCACACAGGGAAGGTCACTCTCTGATATCCAGTTAAACCATTGCAGAGACGGGCTTTCCTGGCAGGAGGCTCGTCGTTTTTAAGATGGTTCTGCAGGCGAGGCGCAAGTGGGCCAGGCTCGATACCAGGGGCGCATGGGGAGGTGTGTGTGTGTGAGTCGGGGGGGGGTTCTGGTCTTTCTCAGATGACTGAGAATCGGGGGAAGCACAAGTCTCATCCGGGATACAACTCGTCTCCTTTCCTGTTGGTCTGTCCTCCCGCTGGTGTCGGTATCTCCCTGCAGCCTGGTTTCCTCTAAGGACCCTGGGGGGCCCTCGTACCCCCAGTCTGCAAATCGGAAGCCTCCGTGCCGCTCAGGCCTGTTCAAGAGCGAGTGAGCGAGCAGACCAGCGAGGGGCCCAGGCTGCCTGTTAAAGAGGGAACAAGAGAACTGAAGGTGTGAAGACGGCCCCAGTGAAGGAGAGAACTTCACCGGCCTGCTTTG